GGGGATGAATTCCCCATCGGAGACCCGAATCCCCAAATTCCCCATCTATTACACCAAACCTTCCCTTCCCATTGAAGCTCACCATCATCCTTGAGTTCCCATTCAAGTTTCTCCCTTTGGGTTCGGCTCATACTCTCAGCATTTCATTTGGGTTCGATTGACTGAGAGTATGAAAGACTGAAACTAAGAGAGAGAGAGAGAAGACTGTTGCGAGAGTTTAGGTCGACGATGAGAGAGAGTCCGAAGGGTAATGGCGGTCGGCGACGTTGATGAAGGTTGAAGGAAGATCTTTGTTCTTTGAGTATCTCTTCTCTCAGTTCTCTGGTCTCTGTCGAGACTCAAGTATCTCTTCCTCCCCTCTGTTCGATGTCCGACGGGCGAGTGGGCAGTGGTGACAGTCAATGACGACAGTTGGTGGTCGGTGAATTGGCGACGAAGACGAAGGTAGGGTTTATTGGTTCAATCGCCTCTCTTGTCTCTTCTCTCTGTTGAAGACTCAGTCAAATTTTAGAATTTTAGTCGAAGGGTTTTCTTCGAGTGTTTATGTTTTACTGTTTTACAAATAAATTAATAATTATTATAATTATATAATATAATATATATATGTATATATATATATATTATACAATTATAATATTAATCGGGGGCAGGGCGGGGCGGGGCGGGGATTGCAATCCCCATCCCCGTCCCCGAACCCAATCGAGGATTCAAGGACCGCCCCATCCCCGACCTCGACCCTGCCAAAGTGTCCCCCATATGCAACCCATTAGGTCGGGGAGCCCGAGTACCCGTCGGGGATGGGGAAAATTGCCACCTCTAATTCTATCCCTAGTGATTTTAATTTTCATTTTCATTCCTATCTGAACCAAACAGACTATAAGAATAGACCATTCCTATTCCAATTCTAAAGGATTTTGGTTCTGAATCCGATTGCGAACCAAAAAGACCCTAAAATGCAGTAAGAAGCTTTATACAAATGGATATCCGAAGTCCGCTCCTATTCTATCATATTCGAATATTCCTATTTCGAATCTTTGGATTGGATAATAGGATTCAAACAGAAATCGGATCAAATTTGGATCAATCCCCTATTCGATCCAATATATATGTTATTTATATTGTATTTTTGTAAATTTGTTATATTATTTATTTTTTCATAAAAATATGTATATATGTGATTAAAATAATTGAAAAGATACCTGCATTTTTGTTTTCCTTTATTTAAGTTGTTATATTTTGTTTTTCTTTTAATAATTTATTTAAAAATAAATAAATTGACCAGATCATATCCGACTTCCTTGTCGGATTTGAATTCAATTCAATGTTTGTGAGATCTAATCAGATCAGGTCTACTGTTTTCACATCGAACTGGATTCAAGTATACCCTAATTCAAATCCGATCCAATTCGTTTGCATCCCTAAGCTCATAGATATTAGGGCTAAATCGGAATTGAAATTGAAATGGTCTATTCCTATAGTCTAATTGGTTCATGTAGGAATTAGAATCAGCTAGAATGAGATTTCATTATCAAGGGAGAGAGAGGGAATGCTCATTCCCTCAAATTGGGGAGTGCCATTCTACTAGGAATGAGAATGAGATTCTAATCCCACCCAACCAAACAATTGGAATTGGAATTAAAATGGCCCAATCTAATTCTTATTCCAAACCTCCATTCTCACGAACCAAATAGACCATGAGATTCTCAATCATGTAAAAGTAGTAAGAAATTATTTAAATAATGCTCATAATTTAACAATAAATATGATTTTAAACAAAATGAAATAGTGAAATAGAATTCATATATCTGATTCTATATAATTAGGACATGGCTAATATGATGATGATGATGATTAACTATAAATCACACGTGAAATAAAATGGTTGTTGATGAAATCAATTTGATATGAGATAAGAATAGAGGTGTAAAGTGGGCCATGCCGAGCCGTCACGGCGTGGCCCGTGAGCAGCCCGCCCTAAAGGTGGGCCGTGTCATGCTGGCCTGTGGGCTGCCATGGGCCGTGCCATCCTCCCCAGTGGAAATTTTGGGGGTCGGCTCGGCACGGCCCATAACCCAGGTCCAAGCGGGCCTGTGTCGTGCTGTCCCGACACGCGGTCCTGGCCCGGGCCGAGCTGTAGGCCGTGTCGTGGGCTTGGACCGTGCCAGGTTGGGAGGGGTATTTTTGTCATTGTAAAGTTATTTATAACTTCACTCAAAATGCCCCCTAAACTAGTTGTTATATAGTTGTTGGGGGGTCATTTATGTCATTTTTTTCAAGTCCCCATAAGCAAAATGCAGAAATACCCCCCTAATATGGCTGTTTATAGTTGTTGGGTGGGGGGAGGGGAGTATTTCTGTAAACCCCCCCCCCCAAAAGTTGGGCCCAACGGTTATATTCTCGGGCGGGCCGAGCGTGGCCCATTACGAGCCTGGAAAGCCATGCCATACCGGCCCGTAGCGAGCTATAGTTCGTGCCATGCCGGCATGCGGGCTACAGGCGGCATGACACGTACTATCGTGCCATGCCATGTCAGCCCATGGGCCTTGAATCCCTGGCCCAACATAGCACGAACCTCCATGTCGAGCTTGGCATGGCCCATTAGCCGTCATGCCAGGCTGAGCCAGGCTGGTCCAAATGCGGCCCGGCCCGATTTAGACCTATAGATAGGAATCTATATTTTTATTACTATGGCCCAACTTAATAAATTATTAAGGTGGTTGTAACCCCACAACCCCCTCTTGTATTGGTATACATGCCACCTTATGACCTCAGCTCCTATGAAATGAGAGGCTTAGATGTTTCTATAATCTATATCCTATAGAATGAACAGTAGTGATCCGATACATTAGTAATCTAGTATAACACAAAAAATTATTATGAGGCCCTCTACGTTCCTTGCACATGGAAGGTGTAAGTTTCAGAAGATTTTTTCGTTTTGAAAATTAATACAACATAATCATTTTTTTTTCTTTTAAAAAAGTTACCAAATGCTAACTCAGTTTGTTGGACAAGACATGTGGCAGGTGACAGGGCTTTAGACTGCATTTATAGCCCCACACCCCAAAGCTTTTGCCTGAAGACAAATACAGACTACGGACATAATTTTAGTGAAATAGAATGATGAGCATATTCAATTAATCAAGTATAGCTAATGGCTTAGCTTAAAACTAGAAATTAGGGAGGGTAATTTTTCCTATTCTTCGATTCATGTAGGGATTCACTCCGAATAGGGCAGAGATGGGGATGATTTCCCTCATAGAGACAGAGATGGGGAAATTTTTATCCCATAATTAGCAGGGATGGGGTAGGGACAAGGAGAGCACTCCCCACTCCAGGGGACCTTGATCCCGGACCCGTGTGATATATATATATATATATATATATATATATATATATATATATATATATATATATATATATATATATATATATATATATATACGTTATA